ATACGAATGAAATTGTCACTTTGATATGTGTCTTGCATGCCAGTTTGCTTAATTCTCCTCACCAAGGAAATTAAGATCTATTTTACAAAACTTAATGCTAGAAATTCGAATAAAGGAGGATGCGAGTTAGCAAGTTTAAAACATTGTTTGATTTCCTTTGTTTTTTTAGGGGGAAAGGGGCGGGGCGGGGCCGGGGGCATTTTATCGTGAAGGTATATTTTGGTTTTTACATTCAAATGTTGTATGTTTAAAAAATTAAGAAGATGTGGTATGACTGCTAATGAGACGACTATCTTCCAGACACCAAATGACGAAGATTTAGCAACTATATCCCATATAGTATAACAGTTTAGATTTATTTGTATGTTTGTTTAATTTTTTTAGTCAGTTGTGTTGTATGTCTGTGATGTATATTTACACAGTTTTGGCTGCTGGATCCCAATTATTGTCCCAAAAACCGATAATGTCTGTTTGGGTTGCTCACCCAATTTTGTCAATATAACGGAAATGTACTAAACTGTCATAAAAGTGGGATGTTTATCTAGTTATAAACCAGATTTAACCCACCATTTTCCTCGGAAATGCCTGTCCCAAGTCAGGAACATGACAGTTGTTTTCACTCATTCCGTTGGTTGATAACGTTTGATTTTGTCAGTTTTCAGGGACTTCCCTTTTTTGAATTTGCCTTGGAGTTCGATATTTTGGTTATACTTTTTAGTAAGCTATAAAAGCCCCATGATATGACCAAATGCAAAACAAACGTGAAAACCAACACCCTGAGTTATGTATAAAACCATAAACGATAAAACACATATGATACACAGCAACCAGCGACAGTTGCTTGTTTATTTCGTACACTTGAAAACATCTCAAAAATCCATTTTGTTATTATTAAAACATAAATAAATAGTTTACATTAAATAAAATATGAAATTACTTCTTGTGTATTTTATGACTTTTAAATAACATATTCTTACTGTTGTGTAGATGCTGTTACGCAAATACATTTGTAGAAAAGGTAAAATCCATATTCCTCCCTTTAAAATATGTTAAAATTTAAACACAAGTGAGTATGAAAACATTCTGACAATTCAATGCAGATGTTTAAATTGTTTAAGACACAAAATTATCTCTCCTATTTCGGAATAAGTCGAAATTCGGCCGCAAATGTTGCTTCCGAAACTTTGAAACATAATCTTTCGTCAAAATGAGAGGGCTTTTTTCATCACGAAGAGAGCTACATATGTAGAAAAAAATAGAAATAATCAAAATGTGGGCTAAAAATAAAATAAGTTTATTCGTCCAAAACATTTACAACGAGAAATGTTATACTTTTTTCTATACCTTATACTTATCTTTATACCGATGTAAGTTTATTTTTGAATAATTTATTTCCATTTATTCTTTACACGTTCGTCATAGACATCTGATATAGAAAAGTACATTTGCCTTTGTTTGTATAGAATACAAACATATTTATTGAAGGAAAGTTAAATAATTAGATCAAGTATAGACATAATATACAATCAATTTCACTTCATCAACCTACAGACATACATAAGACAGTAGGATCATAAACAAGTATTTTTTTAACAAATATTAAAAATTGAAGTTGCAATCTGATTTATTCAATAGAAAATCTGGTCTGTAAAAAAGAGCTCAAACTAATTTTGGACGATAGCTTCCATAATAACAGCTGATGGGATAGATTTTACAGTATTTGATAGTTCGTGAGAAAAATGTTGTTAAATGTTCAAAAATGGTTGGGCAAACTTCTGTATTGGATTTCGTTATGTCATCTGAATCACCCATTTAGATGCCGACTTTAAAAACGTAGAAGAAATAAGGAAATCATAGAATGACCGAAACTTGACATGATAACAAAAAAAATATCACAGAAAGTATCACATCTATAAGTTGAAGAGTTCTCCCTTTCTTGTGTAGCTGGATGAAATACCATAACATATTGATTGAACGGTCAAGAAGGGATATAATGTATCAATTTAAGACACAAAATCGCTAAGCGCACATGAAAACTCCGAAAGTGGAGGAGCGGGGCTTTTTTGCTGCTTTTCCTCTCAAAGTCAAAGTAATGGTTTCAATATAGAACCAAACTGTCCCATGCTTAAAGTTTTATTACCAGTTTGAGCGGAATACTTTGCAAATGTCAATCATTCTACGACTGTGCATTGAAGAACAAAGCTGAGGGTAATATAAACAAATTATAAATTATATTTGGTAGAGTTATCCATTACAGTATAAGTCATTTTGATATATAATTTTATATTCAGAGAGCTTTTCATATCATACTCTGATAAAAAGCCTATAAACAAAACAAAAAATAGTAAGACCGAGTTTGACGCCGATCTCTTTTCGATTATTGACGTACGTTCCTCAAATCTGAGTCTGAACTGACGTTACAGTCTCAAATCGAAGTCCAACCATTTTTATCTTCTAGATAATGGACTTCCAACTTTAACGTCATTAGAAAAATAAGAAGATGTGGTATGATTGCCAATGAGAAAACTCTCCACCACAGACCAAATGACGTAGAAGGTTAGCAAATATAAGTCATCGTACGGTGTCTTACAAATGTACAAGAACGAAACTTCCGATCGTAGTCTCCTCTTACCAACGCCCAATATAGGTTGGTTCCCTCCATAATATTCAGTATGCCTTCGGAATATACACACATTAAATGTCACTTAATCTTGTCAAATACCGGACGGGACCAATATGACTTAAAAATTATTTCCTGTTCCGTATCGCCACCGAAATCAGAGTTTTGGTGTTGTAACTGTGTTTTGATATTATCTTACCGGTGTTATAGATTTGGGCTCTTTTCTTGTACTGATTTGAATTATACGTTCTTTAATTTACATTTTGTTTAACACTGATCATGATTATGAGGGGGGAAATTTGAGATCATCTTAAAACAGTTTAATTCCGCCACATGTGCATGTGCCTTTCCCAGTCACCGGTTATCTTTTGTTTAATTAAATTAGGTATGTCACATGGGTGTTTTGGTGTTGAAAATAGAACATTGGAAGCCTCTGTTAAATTTATGCAAAATATTTTTCAGACTTTTGGCGATTTAGAGCTTAACTGATGGTATAGATATATTCGACAAGTACTTGAATAAACTATTTTAGAATTTATAGGTTACAAAAGGCAAGTTCCAGGAATCTTCGTAATGATATCACTGTTTTTAATATTTCTGTCTTTGAGGATGAATATTACTGAAATGAATTCATCTGATAGGGTGTAAAAGTCAAATGATCCGTGAAATTTAACAAAAAAGATGAATATGTTTTATACACTTGAATAGCTTCGTTTAACTATAAAACACGTATATAAAACTTTTTTTTAAATCATTAATTCTATCAAAATCTTTAAAATTTGCTGCTTTTGAGAATTATTGTCTTCTCTTATTCTATCTAATTCACAAACAGCTTTATGGGAACGCATGGTCAATATAAAAAAAAACAACAAATAAACATCGCTCTGTCATCTCACTTATTATACACGTGCTCCATGATTATGTGTAGGTTGTTTATCGAGGTGCCGATCGGGAAAAAAAATCGACTACAAAACCGAAAGTTCATCAGCAACCATTGTTTATGATCAACAATCACAGAATAAAAAATGTTTTAGTCGATTATACGATTGATTCGTAACAAATGTAACAAACGTGCACTGAGGACTAAGCTAAGTATACATACATACAATGGTTCAATAATTTTCTTAACATTTATAATCAATTGAAACAAAATCATAAGACTTTAAACAAACTGTAACGTAAGGTAACTCTATCGTAGTCAAGATTCAATACCCAATTTCATACATTAAACGAAAATAATGTGTGTATATTTAACCCGGTCGAAATATTATTATACTATACAGTTGATACTTTCTGTTTCCCTGCTAAGCATTCAACTTTTAAATGTAGAGCAAGTACTATCCGACTAAGAGTCAGAATATGGCCGAGATTAATGGCATGTCCTTATGTGGACTATCATACTGTGGGCTATTACGACAAAGAAATGACCCGGCATGTCTGTCTAGTACAAAGCAGACTAATTGATTATGACAATTATACATAATACATTGTGCTATAAAACACCACAACTCCTTACGATAAGCATCTTTCTGTTATTCAAAGATTACACAATTTTCTGTTATAACATAATTCGCTCTAGCTAACATGCGTCATATCACCATTTTGCTCAAAGGTGTTACGTTCCAATATCTCATTCACCAATTACCATGTCGAAATAAGATAACTTCATATAAAAACTCTTTAATTAATTCACTTCCTATTTTGTTTTTTAAATCGAAGTCATCATATGAAATAATTGCTTTCAAATGTTCTTTTAATGATCAGAAGATCTGCAATTCCAAATGTAACCTTAGTACAACACGGGTTTTGCATTAAAGATATTGTTTTTAAAGTTTTTTTTAAAACACTTCAATGTTCTGCTATGCAATAAACTATTTATTTATATCAGTTTAAACTTACTGGGACTACAAAATAAGCATAAAGTTTGATAAACTACCTTTGAAATTCTCATTTCCGACAATTATCAAACAGGGACTAACTCAAATAGACATTTAGTATCTTATTTTGATGGTCTTTGTGATTTTGTAAAAACATAAATATTGTCAAAGTCAAAAGCACAAGGATGTACCTAACACAGTACTATAGTAGAAGAGCGGACACATTGTTTTCTAAAATAAACATATTGATTAGATTTCCTTATACTTTTATACAAATAAAACAATAAAGAATTTATAAAATGTAACTTATTATGTTTATAAAATAGTTTGGAAACAACTACAGGGTTCCTTCTGTATTAGTTGTGGTTCAAATTTGTTACCAAGTTTGTCGCCAAATCAGTACTGAGGGTTTAAAACAAGCATTCTATATAATACCTGGTGTCTATAAACAACACATTAAACAACATGTTTCTGCTTGTCTGTAGTGAACTATTCTGTTTCAGGGTATAGCTTTTTTCTCTTATACATGGAAGTTGGGTGAAGTGTTATGCAAACTTGTCAACTATTTACAGAATGTGTCGGTATTGTGTTCTGTTATGAACCTGACTGGTCTAAGTTTAGAAAGGTGTGTATTTGTTTTCCTCATTTTTATTTAAAATTTAATCTCAAATGGATTTGATTAAAAGAAAAACTTGAAAAATTCACAAACTTAATAAATGGCCAATTAGACCATGTCACTTAACTATCTGCTACTTTATACATTATATACTCTGAAAAGATATACATAAATTGTTCCCCATCCATCAATCGTCCAAGTATGTTGAATTCGCCATAAGATCAATCTATCTTTGTATGAAAAAGAAAACGAGAACACTGGTTTTTTTTTTGCTATAAATATGTTTTCTATATTACAGATATTATGCCATAATCCACCCTTTGAAAGCAAAATACAGATGTACTCTAACGTTAGCTAAGAAGACGGTATTGTGTATTTGGCTATCTAGTTTTATATTGGCAGCTCCAACGATTGTTGGTCAGGTAATTGAAAATTGAAGTCTTTGTTGAGCAAACCTAGGTGTGACTATTAATTCACAAATGCACTTCAAGAAAAATGAAAAATAAACAAAAACAAACAAAAACAAAAATAAAATAAAACTCCAAAAATCCTAATATGCTATTATTTTTTAAAGTCAGAACAAAGAGAGTTGTAAAATAAACTTAAAAATGAACCAAATAAAAAACGTATAAACTATCCTTCTTGGGATACCACTGTTATTTGCAGTAGTGCTTGTTTCTTTTTTTCTATATACTTCAGTGGTATATTCGATGAAATGAATAAATGGAGATGCGGGATACACGTCAACGACTCTGAACCCATTAAAATCAGATTTTATATTATAAAAGAGAGGCGAAAGTTCCAAAAAGGACTTTCAAACTCTTAAGTCGAAAATATACTGACAACGCCATGGCAAGTAAAAGACCAAAACACAACATAAAAAACTGGGGGTGATCTCAGGTGCTCCGGAAGGGTAATCAGACCCTACTCTACATGTGGCATCCGTCGTGTTGCTCATTTAAGTACAAACCCGGGGATAAGTCTAATTCGGTAGGTCATATTCGGGGAAAAAAGGATGGGATTGTGGTTACGACAATTGGAACATTTTCGTCGTCATCTGTAAAACAGATAATTCGTGAAGGTCAACCAACTAAGGTCGACCAACTCGTAATGGCGTCCTCAAAATTAACGAAGGGGTTATTCAACTTTACTACTTGGAACCCTTAGTTTAATATCTTCCTTGTGAGCAGCAACCCTCTATAAAGGAAATTATGATAGGAAATGCAAGACCTGGAAATCGTATCAACTGGGAGATATATACTGGTCTCCATATGCAGGCGCTATGTTTTACTATAAAACACGTGTACATAGATTTCCTTTTAAAAGAAAATCGTTTATTTTATGATATTCAAATTTTTATACAAGTATTGTCTCTCTGTACTCTAATTCGTTGACAGCTTGACGATATGTAGTGACACAATTGGGAACCTGAAATCATTTCTTTTGTCGTAAAGTTTTGTTTTCAACCGACCTTCATTGTCAATTTCTAGATGTAAGTATGAGGCAGACTTAACTGTATCTATTGTATCCTTTGTCTCAAGTTCAATGGGATAGATGCGTTCAACATAGTCACCAAACTTTGAATTATTTAGTGAGAGAACATAATCTATATAGCGGAAAGTGAAGTTAAAGGATAATGCTTATTTCTTTTCATTATTCATAAGAAGCTCCTGTATGAAGTCAGCCTCATATGAATAAAGAAACAGGTCGACAAGAAGAGGAGCTCAGTTGGTTCCCATGGGAATGTTGATTGTTTGTTCTCCAAACGTAACAAATATGTTGTCAATCAAGAATCTTAATAATGTCACTTTCCATAGAATTTTTTGTTTGAATCAGAGTGTTTTTTTACAAAGTACGATTTATCCCTCCCTAAGACAAGATACTTGTATCTGCGTTGGCCATTCTTTTTTATGAAACAAAACAGGACCAACTCTTTCAATTTATCTTTTAGTTTGGAATGGGGATATGCTATATCCATTATCCATAACACTGTAAACTGTTTCATTTCATTCTATCTTTATATTTTAGATCCATACGAATGTATACAACATATTTGGTATTTCTATATTCCAGATCCATACGACTGTAGTTAAGATATACAACATATTTGGTATTTCTATATTCCAGATCCACAAGACTGTAATTGGTGTTCGCCGTACTGCACATTGGTGTATAATAGAATGGGAGCATGATAATATCAGTAGACTCTATGGTGTATACATGTATCTAATAGTCTTAGTTATACCTGTTATGTTAATGACTTTTGCCTATGGAAGCATATCTTTTAAACTTTGGAGATTACGATATTGTAAATCAACTACTGATAATACAAACAAGTGAGTATATAACAAAGAGGGAGGTTATGGTAATGTCGAATTATCCAATGACATTATTAAGACGTGAACCTTAAATGAAGAGATCTTGAGGAGCAGAGCGTTTTAGCTTATAACACTTACATTTTTTAACGACTGGTTGGTCACAGTATTGTTTTATAAAAAGTGAGTTTTGTATGATTCCCAATGAGAAAACTATCTACCAGAGACCAAAATAGGGTAAAATATAAGCAACTAAAGGTCACCATAGGCCTTCAACAATGAGATAACCCCATACCATATAGTAAACTATAGAAAACACCGAAATGACAAAATGTAAAACAATTAATTCAAACGAAAAAAAACAACCCAAATCAAACGACCTGATTTATGTACAAAACAATAAACGAAAAACAAATATGATAGACAGTGACCACTGAATTACAGGCTCCTGATTTGGGACAAGCTCATACAGAATATGTCTGTGTTAAACATGTTAGCCAGCGCTAAAACCTTCCCTAACCTGGGACAGCATAAAAACGAACCATAAAATTCATTTGTCTCCTAACATCGACACAAAGCACACAAAAACCTAACAAAAAAGACTTAAAGTCACAGTAGATCACCGATATTAAAATCTCATAAATCGATTAAGAAGAAACATATCTAAGTAACAAACTACAAATGAGGAAATCGAGTGAACTCCAAAGGGAGGGAGACCAGGTTCGTCGACGGGATAAACGTTTCCTGCTATTCATGCATCAGGCCCATGCAAAATCACACTGAGTTGAGACACCGACACATCGTATCGGTCTACCAATTCGTGATGATGACCGAACAAATTATGTAGACACGTCGAATTCAGTCGATTTTCCTCCTAACTTGGAACATTTTTTTTTGTGTAAAGAGCACACCCCTGTAAATAAGTCCATATAGTATGAACATGCAAAAGCGTTAACAGAGATATGTAACTGCAATGCGAATGCTGAGAAATGGGAAGTTGACAATTGGAAAAATGAAATCATAACGTTTGTTATAGATTCTTGTTTGAAGTCGTCCATGTATGCCGATATCAAGATATGAAGCAGATCTTCTACTTTCGATAGTATCCTTAATCTCAAGTTCACTATATGGGATGTAAGCTCTCATCAAAATGTGGACTTTTAAAAGACACAAAGTACCGAGCTAACAGTACTCGCAGTTACTGAAAGCTAGTCCAAAGCCAATTACAACTAATAAATAAATCATGTTTCACGGACTTAAATCAATCAGTTCGCATCCAATGGATTTAGTGTATAAACGTCATAAACATTCTGAAAAAAAACATGACCTTGTGCAATGCAAAAATATAAGTATCGGCAACATCTAGACCGTAAATGTTCATAACTGTAAAGGAATACTATGTTAGTTGTGTTTAATTTATTAATAACAAAACCAATGCAAACACCGTCATAACGAGTTAGCTAATCCGATGTATATCTACTTTATCATAATTATGATGATAAATTAAGAGTTCGTCTACAAAAAATACTAATATACTTTTGTAAACGTACTTGAAATCAGTATGTCATTTTTCTAAACAATAGAACTATACAGTTTTAAGAATATAAGAATTAACTTTTTAATTCCGACGTTTCCTACTTTTATCATATGCTTTATGTTTTATAGGGTTGCTAACGGAGGACTAAGGGTATCATTTACAGCATATAAAAGTAGGGATGCGATATGTTTACGATGTCCAAAACCTATAATGAGTGACGAAAATGCTACAAGAAAACAGGTAACATTGTCTGCACAAGATTACAGAAACAATAAGTTCGTAATTGTTTAAGAAAAGTAAGTGGATATTAAACGGACAATAAAAATACCACAAAGGAACAGACAAACCATGGCAAAAATAAACTGTCCACAAAACAAAACAAAAACGCCAAGAAAACCTTACGCTGAATGGGATTGATCTTAGATACCCTAAAATATTAAGTTTCGTAAAGTCATACACTAACTTATTTCCCTCAAGAAAATTACAGACAACCTGTTTTTACGTCAGAAAAGAACTGTTGTGACGTGTTTAATGCGATATATTTTTATGCATTTAAACAATTTTCCAAGCGACTTAATTACGCTTACTTTGACAAAGACCACATGACACGTGTTGGTCAGTTGGTCAGTTGTTGCTATAATGAAATTTATAAAAGAGGCACTTCAAATTTGTTGGTTAACTGATTCAACATTGAATTTTTGTCAGTTCAAAAACGTCATCAGACTTTTAAACTGTATATAATTTGAATTCACTTAATAAATTTGTACTCTTGTATCACACAAAACAATTTTGTGGTGCGAAGAGACAACATCTCGCTTAAGTTGATATATTTGTTGATTGATGACTATACTAATCAAGTTAAGCTTGAAAAGTAAAAAGACCGCTTTATATTACTAATCTTGAGAATAATAATGATGCAGAAAACAACACTTAATCACCCTAATAGCAGATTTGATCGGCATCAATGTTGGTCTTATTTTGCAATGACATTCATCCCATATAAACTTCCTTATTAGTCGAAAGATTTCAGATAAAAAAAACTCTCCGAAACTCATTAAAATATATGAACCCTTACGTTCTGTTTGATTGTCATTATATAAATCGCCGGAAAGAAAAGAAAAAACCTTAATGAACTTAGTTGCAATTAGTAGAAAACAGATCGATATTGATACCCTTATGTACAATGTAGGATATATTAAGCTTACAATTTCATTTCCGGCTTCTTCCTGCTTGCGGCAAGTAATCAGGATTTTTATGTTTTAGTTATGAAAACTGACATATATTCGTTTGGTAAATTAAAGTTAACATCTTATTATAAATTCCACACAATAACGTTTTCCTTTCTTTTAATTACAGTTTTTTGGTAAAATGAATCTGATTTTGTATCCAAAACGAAAAATGTTTTGGGAAAACTTATGATATCATTCTCTGTAAACTGCCATAAACCGTGGAGTAGCGAATGATAAAAAGTTATAAAGATCGACTGTTATATTTTTATGTTGCTGCCGAAAATTTTAATTCTAAGCTATAATAGTAAATCTGTGTATCATTATTTAACTAGCATGTCCAAGAAATCTGAACTAATGGCATCACAATATGAAATGAATATAACAAGAAGAATAATAAATTCTGCAATTTAGTAAATCAAAGTCAAATGATCCTCCAAATGTAACAAAATAAAGATAAAATGCTCTGAATACTTGAATGGATAAATGAGAGACCTAAGATACCAAAGGCTCATTCAAACTCTTAAGTCGAAAAAAAAGAAAAAGACAAAAATACAAATAACTGTACACAAAAAACAACATAAAAAAAACTAAGCAACACGAACCCCAACAAAAACCGGGGGTGATCTCAGGTGCTCCGGAAGGGTAAGCAAATCCTGCTCTACATGTGGCACGCGTAGTGTTGTTCATGCAAGTACAAACCCGATGAAAGGTCTAATTCGGTAGGTCACATTCGGTGAAAAGAGGATGGGATTGTGGTACGACAATTGGAACATTTTCGTCGTCATCTGTTAAACAGATATTCCGTAAAGGTCAACCAACTCGTGATGGCGTCCATAAAATTTACGAAGGAATGATTCAACTTCACTACCTGAAACTCTTCGTTTAATATCTTCCTTGTGAGCAGCAACCCTCAATATAGGAAATCACGATAGGAAATGTAAGACCTGGAAATCGTATCAACTGGGAGATATATACTCCATATGCAGGCGCTAAGTTTTACTATAAAACACGTGTACACAGATTTCCTTTTAAAAGAAAATCGTTTATTTTATGATATCCAAATCTTTATACAGGCATTGTCTCTCCGTACCCTAATTCTTTGACAGCTTGACCATATGAAGTGACGTAACCACAAATCCTCTCGTTAGAAATAATGCAACCACACAGCGCAAGTTCGATAAAAAAAGCCTTGATGGAAGAAAAATTAAAGCAAACGTGAAAGGAAGATATTATTAACTGATGCTGACAGACAAAATTAATACACCAAATCATTTAACAACTGGTTAAGACAAGTTTAATTTACAAATTGGAATGCATGGAAAATTAAAAAAAAAACACATAAACATTGCTCTATCATCAAGGATCACAATCGGTAAACATGGACAACTACTAGTAAATCCGAAAGTTTATAAGCAGCCAAAGTTTTCTATCAACAATCACCGAATTAAATATTTTTTGCGATTAGAAGTAGTATTGATTCGCAACAAATGTTTAAAAAAAACCGAAGGACTCAGTTTAGTATATATGTATGCATTGGTTCAATAATTTCCCTATCATTATTATCACAGAAAGTCGTTTCCTATGACTATTCTATTTTAAGTATTGTTGAGTTGTTGAGTTGTTGTGTCGTTTATCTTTATTTAATTACAAATAATGCAAAGCGATCAACGTTTCTTTTTCTAATGCGTTTCTTCTTTTTTTTTAGGTGATGAAGATGTTAATTGCTGTAGTAGTATTGTTTATATTGTGTTGGGGTCCAATAATGACGAACAATTTACTCGTATCATTCAAAATTATCGACAATTTGAACGTGGGGGAACTTAAACGTCCACGTCAAGCTATGTACGTAATGTCATATTTCAATAGTTGTATAAATCCATTTCTATATGCCTTTATGTCCAAAAACTTCAGAAATGCTTTTAAACAGACATTTTTATTAATTTGTCGTTCAAAACCAGTAGCACGGACAAGAAATGGATCCTTTATCCGATATTCATTCCAGTCTAGATCGACATCATTTATATCTGGTAAGTTGGATTGCAGGGAGAATGCCACAATATCTCGGGACAATACAACATTATCTAGTCTGTCAGTTAATAGAGCTTATCAATCAAATCCTGCATCGTGAACATCAGAACAAACAATCACTTGTTATATTTGTCATGGCCTGCCTGTCAATTCATTTGTAAGACCGACCATCCGTTTCAAAATAAAGATGACCAGTGTATAATAGTCTACGGCCGAACTACTACAGACTATAAAGGAAAGGATAAATACTGCCATGACATACATTAAGCGACAGGATTATTAACGTACTTACTTAACTTTTATCGAAAGTAGTCTGTGACACTGTAAAGTCCTAGCGAAATTCTTCCTTATATTTGTTTCATACTAAACTGAATACAGATTTTCTGTTGAACAATGTATAATGTTGCAGCTATTATTACATTGATGAGATACAGAACACGGTATGGTTGAAATGAAAATAATAATGTAAACTGAAACACTAAAGTGTAATGAGTGCGGTAAAAGTGGTCAAGGCAAAATTTATTGGTTGTAATAAATCAATGTATGAAAGGATTTAAACATAGCCGATAAGATCTTATTCAAGCTTCTCCTATCATTATACATATCGAAGCAAAAAATACGAATTCCGTTATACATCATGTCTACATTATTACTCAAGCTGTAGTTGTGTTTTGTTTTGCTATGGATTCTATAATGATTCGCGGGATTGGTTGTGGTTTAAACAGCAATGACAAAGAAGATTCGAAAAAAAACGATAGCAAGCATGGTCAATACACGCTTGATTTCATAAAGACATGAAAAGGCATTTGCATTGGAATACCTTGATTATTATACATCAGCATAACAGTCTGCAAAAAACACTTTTTTTCTATTTATAATTTCCTTAAATAACGAAGCCTTTTGAGGTGAGATTGGTAAGATTAAAATATTATGTATCCAGGCACTGTTATCAGGAATTTATAAGATATGCTGACTCAAAATTAATTTTTCATACCTTAAATACATTAAAAAAAACTCCCAACAACTTTTCTGCATGCATCTGATGCACTTTTCGAAAAAATAATGTCTGTTCAGTGATGCTCTTTGTCAATGTATTTAAAAAAAAGCAAACCTTATACAAAAGTTGACGAGCTGGTTTAAACAAAAACAATAAACCACATAACCAACACTGGACAAGGAATCAGAGCTTTGCACGAGGGAGATGTATTCCTTAATTTCAAATGATTTTTACGATTTATAACATCAAATAAAGATATATTTTACCATGTAATGCGAAAGGAAATACTAGATATTGTGATTGTTAGATATTCTTTTAAAATAAAATGCTTGATTCAACTGGTTTAATGCCGCCAATCAAATTAATACGACAGCTGTCCAAATCCCTCACTCATTTTCAGTATGATACTAACTATAGACAAACCCGTAAAAGAATATTATGAACGGGAAAATCCGGAAAAAAAGTCAGCAAATGGTATAAAATGAGACCATGGCTAATCCTTGTGGTGATGCTCGTAACTTACTCAGATAAAAACACTTCCAAATAAGGGACACATTATCGTCTAATAGAAATGTTCAAGCCTTGCAATCTTCATTCCTTTAAAGACAGTTGAATAAAAAAACATTTTAATACTGTCCTTTGCGACTAATTATAAGAACTTAAACCACACATTCACTAGCAATTTGGTGCTGTATTGTGAAAAGTGTATGTATATTATTTAAAAATCTTTTTTTTTGTTCAAAATAATTCAAAATATGTGTTATCTTTAAATGCGTTGTTTTATGATAGAAAATAATTCAAAATAATATGTTAAAAACAAATATATCAATAAACATTGTCTCAATATGTGTGATTTGTTCTTTTTCTCCATGTATAATTTTAGCCAATGTAATCACGAGTGCATCAAGCAACGGGAAAACTTTTTTGAAAGGATTGGTTCACATATGTACAACATTATCGATCTCATCATGGTGATCATAAATTAAAAGAACGACTCCTCAAAAGTTTTACTTTTGTGTAAGCCGAAAGGCTTTACGTATTTCAAACTTTGGTCTAGCACATATATAGGTAAGCTTTAACCCATATTTATGAAAAATAGACCGACAACATAATAGTCAAAAAGAAAAATTATTATATTTAAGTTAAACGAAATCAACAAAATACACACAGGGAATCTAAAATTGAGCAACTTGAATACTATATGAAGACTGGGGCTAACTCATTTTTTCCTGACGGATAAACGGTTCCTGCTCCTTTAATAGAAAATTTGGTGAAAAGTTGCGTTCTCTGATGTCATCATCGAGGAAAAGGAGACAGATTGTGGATACGAGAAGTGGAACATGTCCGTCATCATATGTAACACAGATATTCCATAATGGGAACTTTATCATGATGGCGTCCATTTAAATATTTATGGGAAGACTTTAACTTTACCACGAAGAACCCTTGGTTGAATAGATTGTAAGCAACAACCGCCTATTGTGGTAAGAAACGCAAGCTCTTGCATATCGTATCAGCTTGTCTGGGATATATATATATACGGTCGGACAATTAACAATGTAAAATCAACAAATTTGCGATAGCAAATTTTTGTCAACTCTCTAAGCATGAATTGAACAAATGTCACACGTTACATCATTGCATAACCACCTGCACTGTGTCACGCAATAACTGGAAACTACTCCTATACAATATTTTTTTCAATGGTAAGGAGAAATTAGAAATAACAACTTTAGTTTACTAATTTTGTCCCCTTCCTCAGCATGAATTGAACAAATGTCACACATTACATCATTGTATAACCGCATGCACTGTGTCACGCAATAACTGGAAACGACTCCTATACAATATTTTTTAACTGTACGGAGAAAGTAGATAACTTAAGACAAATTTAGTTACATATACTTTTAAGATGCCATTACTAGTTGAATAATCCGTTATGACTACAGCATTATATCTGATGTACTTTTAGTCTGCCCACAACCAACTTCAAATTGGCCTTTTCAGTGTAATTGTAATATTTAATTCTAAGATACTATAAAAGAGACTAAGTGAACACTATACTTTAAGTATTTGAGTAAGAACAAAACGTGACATTTTGAAATAAAAGTTGAAAGGATTATACATTTCGATAGTGACCACTGTCATGATCACAATCATTAAAATAACAAACAGTTCAAGATACTTTTAAAACTGCTCACTGTTTTTATACTAAATATATCATCTGCTTTTGCAATTGCTAATTTCCATAGGTTGATTCAATAAAGTTTACTAAAAAATACACATAAAACAAGAAGAAGAGAAAAAATACACAGAAAACAAGAAGAAGAGAAAAAATGCACAGAAAACAAGAAGAAAAAGAAAAAAAAAAGGGAATTTACATGACGTTATAAACCTACGTCATTGACGTTGCCTTGGAATGTCTATATTTAAGTACACGGACGCTGTTCTAAATCTAATTAACCTCTCGTGATTTTTGCCGCGGTGAATATAATGTTTTATCAAAGAGGATTTCCTATGCTTTTAGCCAATGAGAAAACAGAAAATTTATAGTCATTTAATAAGTATGATTGTCTCTCATTTGATTATCCGTGGAACGCTCGGTTTGGAATGTAGAAGAATTAATATTGTTTGTCTTTTTCTTTTTTAGCCATGGCGTTGTCAGTTTATTTTCGACTTATGAGTTTGAATGAACCTTTGGTATCTTTCGCTTCTCTCTTTATCATTTTGTGATGCACAGAGATGTGATTCAAGACCAAGCTCCAATAAAAGAACTGAATAGTCTTTTTGTCAAATTACCCTGACAAATTACAAGATTGTAGCCAAACTCCTACGTTAAGAATTTACAAAAATTTGACTGGTCCCAGTTATTAAATAAGACCAATAGCAGATTTGATCGCCATAAATGTTGGACTTATTTTGTGATGACATTCATCCCATATGAACTTCCTTATAAGTCTAGCTATTTCAGAAAAAAAATCTCATTAAAACTTATGAACCCTTAAGTTCTACTTGGTTGTCATTATATATATCACCGGAAAGAAAGTGTCAAACAACTTTAATGAGCTTAGTTGCAATTAGTCGGAAACAGGTCGATATTGATACCCTCATTATAATACCGTGAAAAGTATTCAGTATTTTTGATGTTTTAGTTAGGAAAACTGACATATATTCGTTTGGTAAATTCAAGTTTACATCTTATTATAAATTCCAAACAATAACGCTTTCCTTTCTTTAAATTACATTTGTTCGTGAATTGAATCTGATTTTGAATCCAAAAAGAAAATTCTATCAGAAAACTTGTTATATGATTCTCAAATATACATTGTCGGTCGGGCGATATAGAAAAGATAACGGCCCAAGTGAGGCTGGAAATTTATTATACATATAAGGTAAAAACCATGACTGCAATCTGCCAAATGATATCAAAACGACTGTTATTTTCTTAAGTTGGTGTAGATTGTTTAAATGTAAAGCTATGGTTAATCCGGTAGTATTTTTTAACTAGTCAGCGAAATTGGCACTAAAGGCATCACAACAAGGAGTGAATATAACAGAAAAAGAAGTCTGCATTTTAGTCAATTAAAGTCGTATGATCCCTTAAATTTAAATAAAAACATATCTTAAATACTTAAATGGCTTATTGTTACCAAAAAAACACGATACAAGTCATCAATTTCCTTTTAAAAGAAAATCGTTTATTTTATCAAAATTTTCATAACTGAACAGCAATTAAATTATTGTCTTCCCATATCTATTTTTTTCCTTATTTTTACGCAATCACAGATGACTGTAGTTATGGTCCGTATGCTTATTTTAAACCCAGCTTTCTGAATCGAGAGGAAATGATGATGGGAGAACGTCCTAGCAACTTTTTCATCCAAGATGTACTTTATAAACTTCTTATATCATTTCCTTTTCCGAATGAATTTAGGGGTTTACTTCGGCATGACATTATCCTGTTTATATGAACACATTTAAAATTGTTTCGGCTCCTAAACCCTAAAACATAATTTGACATAAATTTCTCGAATGTATATAAAAAATGAAAACAACACGTTATGAACATGCGTCCGAAGCGCTTTTCTGTATTTACCTTCATCAGGAACGCTCAAAGCCGAATATTTGAAAGTCAAGGATGAATAAAAGCGAAACAGTTGAAGAGCTATATAACTAAAAAAAGACATAAATAATTATCCAAATCAATCTAAGGCCAACTTTGCCTGAGGGAATTGAAACCTTAGTTTCTTTTTAATTTCAAAATTTATAAACTGGCAATTTTAGAAAGTTTGTTATAAATCATGTCAGTACCGACGTACTGACTACTGAGCTGATGATACCCTCGGGGACTGATAGTCCACCAGCAGAGGTATAGACTCAGTGCTGCAAAAAATGAAAACAACACGTTATATAGTTCATGCGTCCGAATCGCTTTTCTGGATTTACCTTCATCAGGAACGCTAAAGGCCGAATATAACCATTGTGCCCCTGCTATTTTGTTCGTTATTTTTCAAATTTGTTTTTAATGGTTCTCTCTTAGTAAAAATTGAACTTTCCCATTACTTTATTGGGGAACAATAATCTAAATTCTAAAATACTTTTGGGCATCTCTAATTTTGTTTTTGTGATACATGGGAACTTCCAAAGCAAATCAATGACTGTGTAATTACTGTAGCTCTAGGGGTGGATAAAATTTTGCTCCCAGTTTTGTTATTGTTTTTTACCTTTATGTTTTCGTTGTTTTCTTTTGAATTTTTCTAATTGTTATATTGCTGCAAAATATGATACACATCTCCAAAACACTATTCTACTAGTGGAAAATCGTGAAGTTGTTATGACCATCAACATACAAGTCCAGTACAGTTTTTCATAGCTGTTTCTGCACTAAAACATGATATCTTCATAAGTATTAGAATTCATCTCCAGTAAAATGAGTATCATAGCTGACTCTTAATTACTTTGTGAG